AAAAACTTTCATCAGAGGATCGTGAACTCAGTAGTCATTGGTATCGGCGGATGGAATTTACTTTGCTATATGGATAAAAAATGAACTATATAATGATTTGACATTTCACATTGACATTGTTATCATTACTAATGTTGTTTTGAGCAACTTTGAGTTAAAATCACTTTGTTTGCTTTTAAAGTTGATTTAAAGTGATAATGGATTTAAAACTTTGTTTTGCATTCCTAAGGATGGACATTTATGCTGAGATATGGACTTGATTGACTTTGCTTGTGTTAAAGTTTAATGTTGAATCTTGGCATAACAATAATGACTTATTTGCATTATTTGCTTATTTTAAATGTAAAGTAAGATTTCATTTGTTGTATTATAATAATAGTTGAATTGTAGTAATTGTTAGTTTAACAATTTAAAGTAATTGTTTATATTGTAATAATAGGGGGGAGTTTTGTTCGTCAAAAGGGGGGAGAGTGTGACGATGTAGTGTGTTAGTTGAGATTATTTTATATTGCTACCGGTAGATGTCTCTGTAAGTAAAGTGTTGTCCGGTGCGCAAGTTTGAATCTCTCCCTTGATTGGTAACCTAAAGGTAAAACTGTTCACTGTATAGTTGGTTCTGATTGGTAAACGTGTACTATCTGAACTTGTATATAAGGTGTAACGTGAAATAAATCGGTCTCTTTGGCCTTTTTGCTCTTAGCGGCTGTCTTTTGCTCTTCTCTTGGGGCTGATCTCTTTGGCTTCTTTGCAGCTGACTTTGCAGCTCTCTTGGTTCTTTTGGTCTTTCTTATCTGTGCTTATACTCTGAGACACCAGTAAGTACATTGTTATTTGTACCTTCATAAGGCACTCGGCCGCGAAGGCGTAACAAACCTCACTCGCACCCCAGTCTTACTTCAAAGTTGCACATGTCACCTCGACCACGTAAATGATTGTGTGCGATTTTGTGCTTCAAAAATTACTCTCACAAATGCCTGTTACCTTTTTCATTAAAGAATATCGGTTAAAATGTTGCAGTCCACGTACATTTGAAGGAAACGACCGTTAAGTACACAGCAATGTCGATCTCGTCGATGCCATATTGAAACACGTGCGTATTTATGGCTCAGTGTTTACATCCAGGTTCCGGATATAGATGCAAAGCGCGCGCAATATTTAAATTATCTTTGACTGACAAGTGAGGAAGTCTCAAATAGCGGTATAAAAAAGCGCTCAAAAACATCATAGGGAAGAAATTTATGAGTTTGTTGTGAGCAGACATGTAAGTTAGGTATATTTGAACACCACCAACCTATTTTAATGAGGAAAATCAGCGAACTTTTCGTTAAAATCTGAGCACGTATGGGCCTTTAATAAACATTCAAATATTTCTCTCATGATAAAAATTTCTACTTTCTATCAAAATCTTGTCACAAAAAAAAAAAAAAAAAAAAAAAACTTACAGCAACAGATCCAACCTTCATCTTTACTCCACTTAGACCTAGGCACTAACCTAGGGGCCTATTTCATATTTCTGAACCACACACAGTGATGGAGCATTGTTTTTCCATAATTGTCCACAGTTTTTAGAATATCTGAAATTCCTTAATTCATTTTTCTTGAAGTTATTTACTAAATCTCCGAATACTTATACAAAACCAGGAATAATCCTAGTCTTGTGAAGTCAAAGTTTCAAGGGCTGCCATTTTTCTGTCTGTGTGTCTTTATATACTTCCGTTTTCCAATTTTCATTTCCAAAATGAAAATCAGAAAAACGAACTGACTTCCGTTTTTCCATTGAAACTATAATGGCAAAAAATGAACATGTTTCGATACTTCATTTCTTCACAGAAGGAGAAAAGGACGTATTTTCTGATATATTTCACTCTCTTGACATGGGAAAACAGTGGATGTTTCTATGTTCTATCACGTTTGGAAATCTGTCGTTTTTTGTTTTTTTATGTCATAAAAAAGTAGAAGAAACAAAAAAATAATCTCGTTTTTCCATTTTTCATTTTAAAAGGAAAAACGAAAATCGAGGTTGATTTTCCATTTCATTTTGACAATTTATCAAATGAAAAGGAAAAACGGCCGTTTTTTCATTTTCTGACGAAATGGAAATCACTTTGCCCCCCTATACACGGACCTGACCCCCTCTCCTTCGGTTTCTGAAAAAAAAAATCACACTTAATATTACCCTTTTGAAATGAGATTTTTAAGTTGCTGATTTATAGTTCTTAACCGTTCCAAAAGGCACCGTTTGGCATTCAAAACACCAAAATATTTTGGGGCCCTTCAGTGGCCCCCAGCCCCACCACAAGGGGGCTGAGGGTCGGCTTCGAATCCGAGGCCTGTCATTTGTAAAAGACACTGTCACCCCCTTCAAATCCTGGATCTACCCCTGTCTAACCACCTGTATAATGCGTTCAGGAGACAAAATGGTATCTTCTTTGTAAAATTGTTTGGCAAATATGCTTAGGCGGGGATGTTTTTTGTTCTTTATCCTTTACCATCTACGCCACAGATCAAACTTGAATGGAGTCATTAGGTAATCCGGCATTGCGGCATGAATGGCATACTTCTAAGCAATTTTTNACAAAAGCGTACAGTCTTTGAAAACAAAAAGTGAGTCACATTTTTCTGAAAAGCTCTCTAATATTGACACTTTCATATTAGGTGAGGAAATGGGAACGGAAATGAATCCAAAATGTGGTGCTTGCAAATGTGGAAAATGTCCATCTGTGGGACATACATATTCTTTTAAAGAGGAACAAGAATTACAACTGATAACGTCAAAATTGCATTATGACAAAGAACGTGAATGCTGGTCTGCTGAATATCCCTGGTTATTTGACCCAGCATTATTGCCTGACAATTATAATGCTGTTTTTGCCACTTTGAAAAGTACTGAAAAAAAAACTAAAAATGGACCCTCAATGGGCAGAGAAATACTCTGAACAAATACATGATATGGAAACTAGAGGTGTAGCTAGAAAAATGACCCAGGAAGAAATTCTTGAATGGGAAGGTCCTGTCTTCTATTTAGCACACTTAGCTGTCGAGCAGCCACAAAATTCATCAACTCCAGTCAGAATTGTTTTCAACAGTAGCCAACTTTTTCAAGGGGTTTCTTTGAATTCATTTCTTGCAAAAGGCCCTGATACATTCAAAAACAATTTGCTAGGACTCTTGATTAGATTCCGTGAAAACCCAGTTGTTTTAATTGGTGACATCAGAAAGATGTATAATTCAGTTTTTCTGGGGAAGTTGGAACAAAATACTCACAGATTTTTGTGGCGTGACATGGAAAATAGACCCCCAGACATTTGGTGCATTACACGTGTAAATATGGGAGACAAGCCTGCAGGTACAATTGCAATTGAGGCAAAAGACATGACTGCTGACTTCTTTTGTTCTATCAATCCACAAGCAGCTGATATCATCAAAGAATCTTCTTATGTTGATGATATAGTGGAAAGTGTGGAAAGCTTTTCTCAAGCTGAACTCTTATCCAAAGACATTGATCTTATTCTTTCCAAGGGAGGTTTTAAGACAAAAGGGTGGATCTTTGGGGGTCAGAATGTACCTAAAGCCAAGTCAGAATTACACAAAGTTTTGGGCATTTCTTGGATTCCCTCAGATGATGTTATTGTTTTCAAAGCATGTTTGAATTTCTCTACGAAACGTAGAAATATTCGTACTGAACCTAACCTTCTTTCATCTCAGGTTCCAGGTGAAATACCTACTGTGCTGACCAGACGCATAGTTTTGGAGCAAGTGATGGGTATATTTGATCCATTTGGCTTCCTTGCACCTTTTCTCTTACTTGCAAAGATGTATTTGAGAGAAACATGGGCACTACGTCTAGATTGGGACGAAGCTATTCCAGAGGTATTAAATGTCAAATGGAGGAAATTTTTCTGTTCATTGTTTCAGATTGATGAATTGAAGTACCCCAGATGTTTGAAACCAGTACATGATGTTGTTGGTGATCCAATGTTAATCATCTTGTCTGATGGTTCAGAAAACGCATATGGATGTGCAGCCTACATTAGGTGGACTTTGAAAGATGGCACTTTCTGGTGTAGGTTAGTAATGGCAAAATGTCGAATTGCACCTTTGAATCGTATTTCAATTCCACAAATGGAATTAAATGGTGCTGTTATGTCAAAAAGGTTGAGAAAAGTAATTGAATCTGAATGCAGATTTCAATTTTCTGAAATATTGCAATTAGTTGATTCAGAAACAGTTTTGTGTATGATTAACAAACTGAGCACTCGATTCCGTGTATATGAGGGTGTTCGTATTGGAGAAATCCAGGCAGCAACAACAGGGGATGTTAGTTGCTGGGGTTGGATTAGCGGACAGCATAATATTGCTGATTGGGTCACAAGAGGTAGGTTTCCTAGTGATTTAGGTCCTGATTCAGAAGTGGTTCAATGGACCAGATTTTCTTTACAAGCCACGAAATCAGTGGAGTGTGAAATTTAACCCTACTGTGTCTGAATTTCTTCCAGGTGAGAAGAAAATCCAAGCATCTGTGAAAACAGTGAATACTGGCACATTACCCCATGCAGAGACATCTTATTCCAGGTGTTCATCTTTGAAAGTTATAAAATGGGCTTATGCTAGGATCTTGGCTATTTTCAGAGCAGGTTCTTTCCGAGGAGGAAATAAGTCCAATGTTACACCTGATTTACTTGCACAGGCTGAAATGCTTTTGATTTCTGATGCTCAGAATTCTGCATGGTATAATGATAGTGTGAAAGCACAGTTCCGTACTTTGATGCCCGTTAGACAAGATGGGTTATGGGTAGTAGGGACACGCATTGCACATCAAAATCCACTGACACCTGAAAACAAACCATTGATTTTACTGCCTAGAAAGCATCCTTTGACCAAACTGTTTATGAATGATGCACATGCAAATTGTGGTCATAAAGGTCGCGATGTTACAGTGGCAAAGTTCAGGTCACGATTTTGGACATCTCATGCTGCAAAATTAAGCAAAAGTATTTGTGACAATTGTCAATTGTGCAAACTTCTCAAAACAAAATACGTTGATCAAAAAATGGGCCCTATGCCACCTGCTCGTCTCATGCCTTCTCCTCCATTTTCCACTGTGATGTTGGATTTATTTGGACCCTATCAGGTAAGAGGGGAAGTTCAAAAACGCACTACTGGTAAAGCATGGGGGGTCATTTTTACTGATCTTTGTTGCAGGGCTGTTCACACTGAAGTGGTGTTTGGATATGACACACAGTCATTTTTGCTGGCATTGTCTCGTTTTGCAGCTATTCGAGGATGGCCGTCTGTTATCTATTCAGACCCTGGTTCTCAACTTCTAGGTGCTAGCGTTGAACTAGCACGAGCATGGGCCAATATAGATAAAGACGTTCTTTTGAGACAAGGCTCAGATATGGGTCTAAATTGGAAATTTGGGCCTGCTGACAGTCCATGGTATCAAGGTGCTGTAGAATCATTGGTAAAGTCTGCTAAAAAAGCAATTGACTTAAGTGTGAAAAATCAAAGGTTATCTGTGCCCGAAATTCTCACTGTTTTTACACAAGTTGCAGATTTACTTAATGAAAGACCAATAGGAGTGATGCCCAGTGTTGATTCTACTCTCAATATCCTTACTCCCAATTCTCTACTTCTTGGTAGATCTACTTCTAGAAATCCTGGAGGTTATGATGCAAATCCTTCCTTGAGATCTCGTCTCACTTTAGTAGAAGGCTGTGTGAAACAGTTCTGGGAGCAATGGAAGAATCTCTTTGCACACACTCTTGTCCATCAAACCAAGTGGTTTAAAGGGAATCGAGACTTGAAAGTGGGAGATGTTGTTATAGTACCTGATAGCAATGTTCTCAAGGGAGAATATCGTCTTGCAAAGGTCACTGAAGTTTTCCCTGGTACTGATGGTCTTGTTAGAAGGGTGAAAGTGTCTTATAAAAATTATAGAGTGGGAGAAAAAGTTCATGAGTACGAGGATGCTAAGAATATTGAGGTAGAGAGATCTGTTAGAAGATTGGGTTTATTAATTCCTGTTGAGGATATGTAATTGCTCTCAAATATTAATGCAACATTGTATATATTAGTACACAAGTTATGAATGATGTTATATAATTATTATTTCTTTATTAGTTCTAGTTTAGTTACAGTATATGAATATATTTCACTAGTTAAAATTAAGTGTGACATTTAAACTTTAAGTTTGATAATTAGTGTCGCAGAGATAAAATATATAATGTATCTCTGCGAAGAGAACCTCCCGATGTTCTGGGATCAACAACTGTTCAGTCTAGGATGTAAAATGTGGTCACTCAGTCATGTGACACATGAAGACAAAAGACCACACCTACAGTACTAAGAGGACACACACACCACTGACTTTGTTGGAGATAGACAGAAGTACATGACTCTCTAAGATATATACTCCATAATTTATTGACCGGCTTTCGGCTTTCGGCTTTAGGCTTTCGGCTTTCGGCTATCGGCTATCGGCTATTGACTATTTGCTATGAACAATTTTGAATAAAGCTAACCGTGTGCAATAAGGAGTTTTATGGGTTTTTTTTATAACCCAAAACAGTAGGTAGCAAGCTTAAGACTACTCCACCATGAGCAAAAACACAATAACCTTGCGCGCTTTACATGTCACAGGTCTTGCATCACTCCCCACTTTCCCTTGGGCAGGCCGCAAGCGGACTTTTTGTACAGAAGCAATGCAAAGATGACTGAAAACAATACGTTGTTTTTAATCGAAGACGATGTCCCCAGGGCAAAACTGCCAACTCCAAAAGTAGAGGATCATACCAATGTTGTTTTGAAAGGATGTGGTTAGTCTGTCAGTGGCATTTTGGGGAGAAAATAGCAGAATTGATAGCAAGGTACGTGAACCGGTGTAACATGAAAATCTGACTCCCATGAAAATCTGACTCCCCCAGTCAAAATTTTATAATGAATATCTGACACCCGCCTTAAAATATTGACTCCCCCTCACAAAACTTTGTAAACCTCATTTTATTTTCATATAATACAGGGGCGGATTCAGGCCGTCTTCTGGGTCTTCCGGAAGACGGTCAGATTTTCAAGTTTACATTGATGTGTATCTAATTTTTTCTGTCGGAAGACGGTCAAAAAATGGAGGATGAATCAAGAGAGATAATTGGGAAGACTCTCAGAAAATATCCCTGGATCCGCCCCTGTAATATAACTTTTATCTTGTAGGATGCAAAGTCAAATCCAAGGGCATATTTTGAATCTTCACATATGCCTTTCGGTCAGACTTTTATAGAAATTTTTCCCATAATTCCTTCAGTTTGGGAGATATATTTGGCATTGAATTATCAAAATTTTTGACAAGGATGTGTTTCAACGAGCATCATGCCCAGGCCAATGCACTAACTGAGACAAAAAGAACAGGGGGTTCAAGTTGAGATTATATGTGATCTAAATCCAAGAGATGGGGACATGGGTCCTCGTGATCTTGGAGGTGAAGCGGTAACGGTGACTTGTATCCCGTGCCAGAACATAGAGCCCGTGGAGCCGTACTAGACAGGTCGAGACTAAAACCACAAGTACCGCCAGCGTACATGCTAATTAAAAACCTGTGGTGCACGGTAGGTTGAGGAAACTGCCATAGTAAGTAATCCATGAAATTTTGTTACCTAAAACTATATGCTTGTGCGGTTGTTAACACTATGGTATTATTGGTGCTTAAATTAAAACCAGATATTATTTCCCAAGCTACCAAGTACAGTGTACATGTCAACTATTTTTTGTGTCAACTGACCTCCATGCTCCATCATGTGTGCAGGCTGTTTATTATTATTATATGTTCAAGCACATTTTGATGAAGTGGCTATGCTTTAACAAGGGAAAATCAAAATTTGTGCTGAAGTTTAAACAATTATTACATCACTAGTATGAACAATTTAAGCTATCTGATTATATTTGACTTTTATTTATCTTGATTATGATATGAAGTTTATGCCTTTTCTTTGGCCCTGGAATCAATGTGTCATGTACATGTAACAAGTAAATTGAAAGTGTTTTATTACAATTTTTCTTTATACTTTCAGATGCAAAAATGTGTAGCAGTTAGTAAAGCTGGAGAGAATGATGTGAGCACAGTTTAGAAACCTCCACAATATACTTCAAAGAAGTTATCTTTGCATCTATGCCTCATCAAAAGAACACAGTGACTAGAACATTGTCTGCAAATAGTGAGGCAATGAAGGCTGCAAGGTGTCATTGTTTTAGTTATTATGAATGGCAGTATCTGTTTATTCATGTATTCATTTTTTGAATGGGAGGAAGACACATACTTTGTTCTCCCTATGCCTATTTAGTTTTAGGTTGGTGGCAATGTAATGTAAAACTGCCATATCAGTATGCAGATTTTCCCTACTCAAATATTCACATTTATTAAGTACAAGTACTACAGTGTGAAGTTTCCTGACTGATGAATGAGGATACCTGTAGAAATATCTTGTGTACACACGTTTTGGGCTATTTTGACTACTTTGTACATATGATTATCAACATCTTATCACTCGATGTCTGGGAGGTACTCAGTATTTGCATTTTAGAACTGTAGATCTGTGTACCAACAGGGTTATATTGCAGTAGTATCTGTGGGTATGTCTGAAAATAAGCTTCATGTTTGATAATAAATTGGTTAAAAATAAATAAATAACCCAAATAAAACTATTCTATATTTCACATAATCTGTTTTTCTTATTTCTTCTTAGTATTTATTCATAACACCTTCCTTCATTTACTGTTATTATGTAATAATATTGAAAGGTTCTATGTTTTTATTAACAGATTGATTCTAATTATTACAAATTGTATTACAAATAAATATAAGCTTATATCCTTCCTGAAATATATCAAATGTACCACTGGTATAATACCTTTAAAGATGACAGCATTGATAACTGGGGTTACAACGCTGTTACATGTAGTGCAGCATGGTTAATGCCAGATAGTTATCTGATAATGTTTGCTACTAGTACCCGGTAACAAAAGATCTGGCACTGGACAATCAATTTAAAATCTAAATTTAAAATTTAAAATCACAAAAACGCCATTAGAAAATACAGCATACCTGCCAAACATTACCTTGATTAGATTCTTGACTAAGAGGAGCATTACCGTGTCAAGGGCCAAGCCTTGAACTTAGGGGTTTGGCTTGTCAATGGTAATTTTTCTCGATTTCTGACCAAATCTAATAAAGCCTCAGTTGCTTAAATTTTGCCAAATTTCCAGTAGCTAAAGGTTGAGTTGTTTAATGCTTGCAATGGGGTCTCTTGTCTGCCAGAGCCTAATTTGCGTCACCTGTGCAGCCTATGTACCTAGACCCACTTTTGTCAGTGCCATAAACACTATGTTTATTCACCATTGTCAAAAATATCAAATATGTGAATAGAATGAGAAATGATTACTTATTAAAATGTTTGGAACTACCTGTCACCTTTGCCAAAGTAACCATATGGGCTGTGCTGCCCCACCTCCACAGGTGACACCTTGTGGAGCAAGCGTGCATAATCCCAGGGGCAACTTAAAAAAAAGTCTATTACTTGAATGAGCTCTTCTTCATTTTTACTATTTCAAAATTTTAACTTTTAAGTTCTAAATAGGAGGCTCATTATAAATAACCTATCACACTTCTCAATGTCACTGAGACTGGATTCCCATACCTAGATCAACCTTACATGATCGGTCCATCTCCACAGGGTCCCTTTCTAAATTGCTTTCAGCCCAAGCTGCTCAAACGTCTGGGACACCTACTAAAGCTGTTAAACGATAGTGAATTACCCTCTATCAGCCTCTGCTAGCTGGTGTGACAGACATCTAAGCTGCCCAAGTTAATTGCACTTAAGCGAGAATCCCCTCAGAGATGGTTCAATCCAAAGTTTGTATGATAGGGTCTGGGAATGGTCTCTGACACTGGGGCTGCAAGCTCCAAGTACTTACAATCCTGGCAGCCTGTTCCTCCCCATCCCACAGAACATCCACTTGTACAGGCACCTGTTTCCTTATTACACACCTCATTGCTGTCTCTACATCTACAGTCCTTGTCACAGTTGTTCTGGACATCAAAGCGATAATCAGGACAATCTACATGATTGAAAAGACAAGGTCATTTTGATTTTTAAATTATAAACCAGAGCAATGGCATCACAGAATGGGGCTGTTGTGGATAAAACTATGTCCAGAATGGTTTTACATTTGGATTCATTTCTGCAAAATAAATTCATGATCCCATCGAATACAAGTATACTTAGATGAACACATACACACACATGGCAACCAAAGGAAAGACCATTTGGAATTTTTGGAAAAATCATTTCTTAAATCTAACTGAGACGTCATACACCTGTACTCACCACATTTTTGTATATCACAGTAAATATATCCACCACCACTATTACACCAGGGTTTTACTCTTGAATGGCGTTTTGAATTCCTGCAGTAGTTCTTTGCTAAGTGTAAGTTCATGTCAGGAAGGTCATCATTCTTAAGTTTGAGACGATTATTGGGATCAGTCCACAAATTACATGTAAATGTGCCATGCCCTGATACTTTCCCAGCATATTTGTAGCCCCCATTCCTTTCACAGCAGTCATAATAGCATGATGAATCTTGAAAAAATATAATACTAGCAGACTGTTACAGATTGTAAAATTAATCTTAAAACATCTTAAAGGGATAATAACTCTTCGCATGAGATCTATATTTCACAATGAAAACATTGTGAACAACTCATAGATGTATAATACGGTAAAGTGCCATGAATTTCGAACGGCTCTTGAATTTCGAACGATCTTAAAATCGGCCGTCTGGAGTTTTTTCTGGACCATGAATTTCGGCCAGTAAGCAATTTTGTGCGATCTTGATTTCGTGAATTTCGTACACCTTAAAATCGGCCACCGGGCTATTTTCGCGCTTATAAAGATCTAACAGTCGGGAATGTTGCCCTAGCATACCTTTACCTGAGTACTACGTGTGCGGCCCAAGGTGCAAGATAACGATCGGTACAGTTAGTTTAGGACGCTAAACAACATCGTCATATCTATTCATTCAGAAAACAGGAGAATCTATTAAGAGTTGTACTGTCGGGCTGTTGTTTCTTTACCGCAGTATTCGGTGTGAGATAGCGATCGGTAGTTTTGCTGAGGCGCACAATAGCATTGTTAACAGTAGAGAATTCAGTAACAGAACAAAACGAGCAATATTAAGAGCTGCAATAAAGATTACCATTATTGCTTTCTTGTCTCGCTCAGACCGTTCACGATCTCCCGCTGACGATCTTCCGCTAATGAAGTCCCTTGAAATGTTCAAATGAAATGAAAAATATTTTTAAAAATTATAAATTCCAATGGGGAGGGAGGGTTAAAAACAATCGAGAACGATCTCCGGATGACGATCTTCCGCAAACGAAAGCCTCTGAACGAGTATGAGCTTTCTCGTTTCACTCGGATTACGAACGATCTCTCGCTGAAAATTTGAAATTTTTCTTTTTGTCAATCAGCTTTGTCAGTTGCCGTGCGTATGAAGGTCCGGAAGGTGTCCCCTTTTACAAATTGGCCTGTAGTTTGCTTAGAGTGTTTTGTACCGCATGAAGGTCACTCTTGTCACTGCTGCATGCGGCGTGGAATGTGTATCTTAAAGTTCATATAAACATTTTATTGTGTTTTGTAAGCTTTAGGAAGTAGTTTCGTCGTGACTGAATATCAGCGTACACTACAAAGTAGTACCATTCATCTGTGACGCATCATAAAAGCTTAGTACATCAAATTACTCTAAAAAAATTCTTACAACGTCCACGGCTGTCCCGGCAAGCCAAGACGCCATTAAAAAAAGAGTCGCAAGCCGTCTAGCCGTCTTTGAAAATATAGGCCGTCCGGTGATGTCAGCGGCCGTCCAAATGACGGCTGGACGGTTCGCTGGGAAAAGCCTTGCTCATAAGGGTATATTTATTTAACTAGGGGCTTACTGACATCATCCAGCTTACATGCGGGTGCATACCTCCCAAAATTATATTAAAGGATATAATTGTAATATATCTAAGTTTAATTGTTTGTAAATTTTGTAAAAATTGCCCATGCAACCCCGTTAGTTTGGAGGGTTAAGCTGGATCAAGTCCGTGTCAAAATTCTTTGAAGCGTTGCAGGAAAAATCAATCTTCCTTTGTTTCTCTGGCTCCTTGTTTAGCCCGATGATCAGATTTATCTAGTGCCCCCAGGTCTGCTGGAGCAGCTCTTTGAAAATAACACACAGGTAGATTTTTATCTGAGATAAATATCGCCACAAGAGTGAATTCGATACGCTCAAGACAAAAGCCACCCGTGAGCTGAAGGGCTCTTTACCCTCTAATTAAGAGGTAAAGCAAGTTCCAGCTAGGTGGACGATTAAGATCGGACTTCAGATGGTAACTAGTATTGTTTACCTCAGTTCTGTGAAAGCAAACGAGAAGGGTGTCAGAACAATGGTCCATATATATAAATTATACAGAGGATTTGTACATTCAGGTGACGTTAACTTATAATCGAAGGGGATTTTCTATAATATTCCTTGAAAAGTACACTAGATTTATAGAGAATAATATCATGGTTGGCTAAAAAATTATACGCACAGTGTATCCGTGCGTATGCCTGGTTACGCCCCTGTCGCAAACCATATCCTGCTGACTACATGAAAATTGTCTTCTAGCATGGACAAAAAGTCCAAGCTTCTATGCTTGCTCGGATCGCTGACGATCTCTTGCGGACGAATACAGTAACGAAGTCCCTTGAACTAGTGTGGAAATTGGCTTATTGTCGCGCTCAGATCTCTCACGATCTCCCATTGACGATCCTCCAGTCCCTTGAACGAATATAAAANCCCCCTTGTATATTTGATCGCAGACGACAATCAGCGGTCATCTTGGTCGCAGTGCACGACGGAGAGAGACCTTAATACACAGTTCGGCTGCCGTGGCGAAGGCTACCTGTGCGCCGCAAATACCGATCTGCGGTCTTAGTGGCCTCCCCGCACGGAGGAGAGAGGCCGTAGTGCAGAGGCCGTCTTCTGCAGGGAAGGCTACGTATGCGTCGGAGACACCGACCCGCGAACGGCGAGATGAGGACGC